CTTAGACTCGCGCCCAGACTTTCACTTTCCCACCACTCGGACCTGCTCCCTCTCTCCACCGTAGCAGATTCCACCCTAAGCCCAGTCTGCCCAGTGGCCGCCAAGCCCTTTGGCCGCTAGCACCCTCGGCGGTCGGTCCTTCAATCCCTCTGACCCGCATCCTACCTGACCCTCGGGCTCTACTGCAGCCCAGTCCAAAGACCCGTGGCCCCAGGAAGCGTTCCCCGCCCTGGAGGGCCCAGGGCCCACTGGGATGGCACCACCCGAGACAGCGCAGAGGGTTCCCCGCCGCTGGGGACCTCAGAGTGGCCGGCGCCTCCCCCGGAAAACGAAAGGGAAAGGCGGGTCACCCCTTCCTGGAAGCCTGCAAGAGGCCCGAAGGGTGCCTAAGCTCCGGTCTCAAAAATGTCTGGGATGGTGGTCCCATTCTTACCGGCTTCTCCAAAATCTCTGGAATTCTCCACCTGACTCCTCCCAGCTATTCAACCAGTCAGTAGCTGGGCCCTTTCCCTAATTCCCTTTCCTGTAGGGCTGGGGTCAGGGGGGGGAGGTTGGGCGGGGGAGGGGGAAGGCAGCTCTGGTGGATGAGTGACCATCAGGTCGAGTCCCTTTGGAGATATAAGATTTCTGACCAAGACCAGACTGCACCCTACTTCTCCTCACCGTTTTGTTCCCAGTAAAAGCAAGGCTTTCCTGCCAGCGCAGCAAGAGAATCATTTCTTCTTTGGTGCACAAATATTTAATCATATTGGGAGCACGCCCCTAGCCAGACCAAAGTCCCACCTGGACTCCTGCTAGAACCCCAGCCCGTGGGACGGGAGTGAAGACAGCACTCAGTAATCCTGAGCTCACTAATCCTGCCCAGGGTTTATGGTGGGCTGTGGGGTGGACTCAGGCCATGGCAGTGCGGGAGCCTGGAGAAGGCTGAGAGACAGGGCTAGCAAGTAGCTGGGGAAACTCAGCTCAGGGCTGCAGGACGGCTGGGGAGGGCAGAGGGGAGATAGGTGAGGATCTGCAAGGACCAGGAGTGGGGGAAGAAGAGGAGGTTCTTACTAAATTCTGTGAGAGAAAGTGGAGGGGAGGTTAGAGAAACTAGTATGAAGTGAAAGGAAATTAAACATTTGCAGAGAAACGTATCTGGCAAACTTAGGCGGCAGAGAAGAAATTAAATATTTAAGGGAGAAGCAAGAGAATCAAGTATTTGAGAAAATAATCAACTATTAAGAGAAACAGTGAAGGTCAGATATTTGGAAAGAAGGAAAAAATAAATATTTGGAGGAATCAAAATGGGAGACAACAAAGAAAATGGACTATTTGAAAGAGAAGAAAGTGGTTCAGATAGTGTGGACCAAACGAAAATAAACATTTGGGACAGAAATGAGAATATCAAATATTGCCCAAAAAGATGGAAACAAACTGAGGAATGAAAAACAGATTGAAGAATGGGGGGGAGAAGGAATATTCTAAGTTTCAGGGAAGAAAAATACTTTTTGTATTCAAGGGAGAAGAAAAACGACAGGCTATCTAGGAGACAGATAGGGACCTGTTTGGGGAAGAAAGCAGAAGATAGCCTGGTTGAGAAAGGAAGAAAAAAACGAATATTTGTTAAAACAGAAGATCCGTATATTAGAAGGAGAAAACGGATTTAATTTGGGAACGAGGATAAAGATGAGAAAAAGGAAAAGACTAGTTTTTTCCTGGGGACAGGAAAGCAACCATTATGGAGAAAAGGCAGGAAATATCGAAGAAAAGCGATATTCGGAGAGAAAGAGGCGAAGCGAGGGCTAGGAAGGAGGGGGGTGGTCCCGCCCCCGGCCGCCCTGACCCTGTCCTGCCCCCTTCCCCCAGGTCTGGTTCAAGAATCGGCGAGCCAAGTGGCGGAAGCGCGAGCGTAACCAGCAGCTGGACCTGTGCAAGGGCGGCTACGTGCCGCAGTTCAGCGGCTTGGTGCAGCCCTACGAGGACGTGTATGCCGCCGGCTACTCCTACAACAACTGGGCGGCCAAGAGCCTGGCGCCGGCGCCGCTCTCCACCAAGAGCTTCACCTTCTTCAACTCCATGAGCCCGCTGTCGTCGCAGTCCATGTTCTCGGCGCCCAGCTCCATCTCCTCCATGACCATGCCGTCGAGCATGGGCCCCGGCGCCGTGCCCGGCATGCCCAACTCGGGTCTCAACAACATCAACAACCTCACCGGCTCCTCGCTTAACTCGGCCATGTCCCCG